GCCTGTGGTCCCAGCTGCTTGGGGAGCTGAGGCAGGAGAATCGCCTAAGCCCAAGGAGTTGGAGGCTGCTGTGAGCTGTGACGCCACAGCACTCTACCGAGGGTTAATAAGTGAAAATCTATCTCAAAAAAAAAAAAAGAATCAGTGATAGGAAAATGACAGGGCCTAGAAATTAAATAAACTAATATATTTATAACCTCCCATCAAGCAAAGACATGAATAACTATGCTTCATACACAAAACAACTTGTATGTGTGCATGCACAGCACACGCTTCTTTTATAGAAAGGTTCCTTAAATGGTTTGTTTCTTTTGTTGTTGTTTTTACAGGGTAAAAAGCAAGCAGACCATAGGACTAATCAGTTTGGTAAGTGAGCCAAAAGTAGGGGAAAAAAACAGATCCAAGAGCACTGGCTGATCTCATTAGCTCTGCTTAAGAAACTTTATAGATGTGACTTCACTCCTGGATTAAACGTCTATATTTAGTTTATACCTAATATGGATAAAGTCCTGAACTAACAGCCATTTCCTCTCTCCACGAAAAGAAACTTCCTTGCTTTTTTTTCAACAATACAAAGCATAGACTCCTCTGAAGGGTGTGGAAAAAGAAAGAAGGGAGGTGGGAGAACTCAGAGAAAAACATTAACAAATTAACATGTAATTTTTGTTAAACTTGAACCACTTTGACACTTCTTGGAAAAGAATTCTAAAATCAAAATACCATAATGTTCAAATGGGGATCCTTAACCAGCTTATAAATAAACCCTTTAAAGTACTTTACAAAATACTAATTAACCAGGCCCCAAAAATGCAAATAGGTGAGGTAATGGAAATTTTAGCTTCCTTTCAAATTTTACCAAGAGAACTGAAAGCCAACCAAAGTCATCTAATGAACCATCTAGGCTCATTGTTTTGTTGTTACATTCTAGAAATATCCTCAAATATTCACAGTTTTTTACTTTTCAGGGTAACTGAAAACAGTACATAATGAAAACAAAACTGTTAGGCAAACACTCAAGTTTCAAATAAAGACAAAGAACATAAACAAATTAAAAAGCTTTTAGTGGTTAAGAATCAGCCTCTGGAATCATAAAGACCCAGGTACAAATCCCAGCACTGCTACTTACTGGCCCTGCAAAAACGAGGTTGACAGTATCTATTTTGGAGTTTAGATGAGGACTGAATCAAGGAACAGAAGGTAAAAGACTGGCACATTGTGCCTGGCCCACAGTAAGCACCCAACACTATTACCTCACTCTTGCTTAGGCTGGTTTCATACTCCTGAGCTCAAGCAATCCTCCCACCTTGGCCTCCCAAAGTGCTAGGATTACAGGCATGAGTCACCCCACCTGGCCCTAAGGTGAAAATTTTTAAAAATAATAATGATACGGTCTATAAATAAACAATTGGGAGACTTCAACTCTACCCTTTCCCCTTAAAATTTATTAAGAATAGGCTTGGCACCTGTAGCACAGTGGTTATAGCGCCAGCCAGGTACAGAGAGGATGGCGGGTTCAAACCTGACCTGGGCCAACTAAACAACTGCAACCAAAAAATAGTCGGGCTTTGTGGCAGGTGCCTGTAGTCCCAGCTACTTGGGAGGCTGAGGCAAGAGAATCACTTAAG